ATAGAATGAAGACCACGTGATACGTGGCGAGGACACACAAGATTTACAAGGCAGGGTGGAAGTGAAGGGGGAGCCTGTAGAGGACACAGCCTTGCTTGCATTTGTTTGTGTGCGTGTCCTGGAGGGGATTTGCTTTTCTTGTCCTCGAGTACTACTTCAGACCAGAAGTGATGTATAGCTTATGAATCTCACCTTCCTTCATCAAAGATAAAAAGACCTAGGAACTATTTTTATCTATAGGAAAATAAATAGGGGGCTCATTTTCCTTTATATGTTGTACTGTGCACACAATATTAGGCAGTAATTGATTGTTGCTTGAACTGCAATTACATAAGTTTCTCTCAGGGACTTTGCTTTTTTCACTTAGGCATTCACTTCTATACTGAATGGGAAAACTTGAAAGTCAGATCTGAATATGGATCTTGGCTACGACACTAAATCAGTCATGTACTGTAGAACCATCACTGGTTTCTGGAACTCAGCTTCCTCGTCTGTAAAATGGGGTGACAGTCCCCACCGCATCCCAACTAGTCCTGTGAATAAAATGAGACATCACTCCATACGCAATAGTCTAGCGGCAACCGGCAAGCAAGAAGGGACTGATTTAATGTGCCTTCCCTTCCCTGATGCAGCATAATATAATGTGATATTTAGAATTTTAATTCAGGCAATTACTTAAGTAGTAATTGCTATTTGTATTTACATAGCTGCTTTGATCCAAGAAGCTCAAAGGGCTTACTAAATTTAGCATTTTAATAAATGTTTCATTTGCATTCTGTTGGTTCTGTTTACCCACACCAAAACTTGGAATTTCCTGAAGGGAGACAGTCCCCGAACAAGGTAATGCCTTTACGTGTGCAGGCATCCCAGGTCTCACTCAGGTCTGCGTGCTAAGAGGTTGTCACTCCACAGCAGCAAGGCATGATCACGGAGGCTCGATCACAGCTGCTTCCTCCCGCGTCTCTCCCTTAGCATTGGGCACGCTCAACTTGATCCCACCACGCTCCTCCGAGGCACTGACAACAGGGGTGTTTATTGCACCGGTGGTTTTATATATAATCAGCACAATAAACATTATTAAATTGTCAGGAGAGACTCAAAGCAGCAAGCGTGGCACCGCACTGAATTCTAACGATGCTGACCGTCCATGAGAGCACGGGGACAGGATCTTAACAAGCCTTGATCTGAGTGTTGGCATCCGCCTCACAAATCACACGGGCCGCTCCTCCTCGTACACTGCTGAATACTGATGGGCATCTCCACCCTACGCAACAGGGAAGTGGGTTTCTATTGGCAATCCTTGCCAAAGTGGGTTTCTTCCCTTCTCTACACTCAAGGGTTTACCCTGAATGATTTAATTATAATTTTCCTTGTGTAAGACAAATTAAAGAGGAGAGTAGGAGTGTCGTGCCAAGCACATTATTTATCTCCTTAACAGATTGCAGCTCACCAAACCCCAGAGCTACTGCTGCGGCGGCTGCTCACAGAGGCTGAAAAAAAACGGGGCAAGAGTGGGAAGGCGGGGGTTTCCAAATGGCGCGGAGATATGTGTGAGCCAGGTAAGAGCCTTACACATCCCACGACTTTAAAAACAACAACAACACAAATCCTCCCTCTTTCTCTCTCCAACCAATTTTCACACACAGCACTCCTAGATCTTTTCAGGAAAACGATCCCCTGAAGGCGGCTAACTGTGCCCGGGCTGGATTGCCATGCACAGTGGCAAGGCCTCTTGCTTGTTCGGTTACTGCTCTTGAGGGTGAAGGGAAAAGTGTATTCCCTGGCAATCACAGGGGAGCTTGTAAGGATGTGTATTTCACAAATGCCCTAGGGAGGGAGGGATAAAAGGTTTTCGTGGCAGGAAGGAGAACTCCTGAGGTGTGTCCCTGACAGCTCAGGGTATCTACCCTTGAGAACACACTTCCTTAGTGGCAACCCCCCATTCCTTCCCTTTGCTACTATTTTCTACAGGTAAAGTGGCCACCACCTATGGGACTTAAAAAACACCAGAGTAAGGGGCTGAGGGCTAGTGGTAGACCACTTGCCTAGCATATCCCCAGCATTGCCAATAAGTGAATAAACAAATATTCATCCTGATGAGGTAAGCACATGTTAATACTCATTTTAAAGTACCTGTATCTATATACAACCGGCTTAAAGATTATTGATGGTTGATCCGATCACCTCGATAAGCTTAAAGCTACTAAGCTATCATTAATCTAAGGTATTAGAATCAGCTCAAAGTCTGCTGGTACAAGGTGAATGTATGTACAAGACCCTGCACCCACCAAAAATTAAAGGCAAGTGCATGCGCCAGAGTCTTCTTTGAATCCAGCCACCGTCGGTGTATGAGATACTATGAAATGGGACAATCAAGGGAGTAACTAACATCGTATGATTTCCTAGTTGCCTGCTCTCTGCGTGCGTAGCAAGAACATAGCCCTTTCTCACGTGCAGACTCAGGCTGGTGGAACTCTCAATTCTTTTCTGACCCACAGTCTAATTTTAGCATAAGATTAAATGCAACATTTGTGCAGACAAATAAGGACCATAAAAAAAAATCAAACAAACTTAGTCTGCGGGAATCAGACTGTGTCTTAGATCCACTTACTCTCAAACGTGTCTTAAGACATGAAAAGGCCTATTCTTCTCTGGTTTGCCTCCTTGCTGTTCCATCACCAGACTGCAGATACATAACCTTTTAGGAGGAAACCGAGAGCACAGTGCATCTAAACAAGGAGACTTTCAGTGTCACAGAAAGTCTGTGCAGTCTCCACAGCGGCCGACAAGATTGCAACAAATACCTTAAGTGCATCAGTCGGCATTTTTCAGTGCATGGCCTCCTGCTCCGCCTATGGATAAAGATGTAATTCAATCACTCTGCAGTAAATGGACAGCATCAGCCTTGGGACGGGGAAAGCCGGTACCACAAAGGGCAGCAGCCCGGAATCTTTCTGTTAAAGCCACCTAAGGTTTGCTACTTGGAAATTAAAAAAGAAGCCTAATAAAGACATTATAATAGATTCCAAGGCAAGATCAAAGACTAGTTTCAGGTACCTTTATCCTTCACCACTGGAAAGTTGGAAACCCAGGAACCTGAGTTTGGCCTAGGCTATTCCTCAGCCCCTTCTAGATCACTAGGCTTAAAGCGTCTTTTAGTTCTTTCCATTTCTACCAGAGACATTGCAAACAAATCTTCAAGGAGTCTTGCAGCTATTAATTATAACATGTGTTACTCTCACTCTGAAAACCTTTGATGGCTTTTAAGCTCAAATCTGGTACATACACAGACGACATGTATAAGTATGTGTGCCACTCAGGAGGGATACATTCTGAGTCATGAGCAACATCACAGGTTACAAGACCTAAATGGTACAAGATTACACATCTGGACTACGTGTGCATATGCAAGCACATATGGTATGGTCATCTACTACTCCTACAGCCCCAACGGGATGGGCAGATCAACCCAATATTGAACCAAACACAAGAAAAACAACATTAAAGCAAGCACAAGAAAAACCAAGCACGAGGCATGGGGTAATACATGATGTAGGAGGTTGCTGCCACAGTAACATGGTGAAATATTTTTGTGTGGGGAGAGGTACAGTAGGAGTAGGTCCTAAACTAACCATTACACAGCACAGTACAGTAAGCACATTGACTGGTCACATCATCACTGTTAAGGGTTATGTCCTGTTTATAACTGTGTATGCTATACTTTCTACACAACCAATAGCACAACAAGTTTAGTCCACGACCAGGGCTACAAACACTGGGGAAACGCCTCCACCTGTGTGGTTACAATGACTACACTATCAGCGGAGGTATTTTTCAACTCGATTATGTTATCTGGCCACCACTATGCAGGTAGTCACATACCAGCACACCGCTACACAATTATGTAGAGCTGTACACTGCATTGCAGACAATATATATCTGGTTAAAACAGAGGGCACAGCGCTCAGCATTGTACAAAGCACATGAAATGATACTGTACTTACTTAGTTGATAAAGTGTAACTTTTCCACTGAGCCATTCAGACTCAAAAACAAAATAGAGAATTTGCTTTTGTCTGATAAAAAAGGTTTTGCTATGAGAAATTCTGGCAAGGCTTCTTGCCCTCTGTGTCCACAAGCTCTCCATAAGAAATATATAGGAAAGGGTCTAAATGTAATAAATAGGGTAAAATGGTCCATTTGAGGAGTATTATATTCCATTTCTGAAGTGTATTTCAATGCTGGCAAGACCGCTTCTGGGTGTAACAGAATGAACGAACCACTTTATTTCCTTAGGGCTTTAAGGAACACAATGCAGTCAGGATCTTGAAAACAGTTCAAGCTTCACCTACCACTCATCAAAAACTCAGAGCACTGAAAATATAAGGACTTAACTTATAAACAGGAACTAGTGCTACCTCAAGGACCGTCAGGGGAGAGTAAGCTTCAGTTCAACTCACCATCATTTAATTCTCTCCTTAGTGTCTATGCTGAAAAGGCCCATGCTTCCTTTTGGGACACGATGAAGAAACCAGGTTCCCCCGTTTCAGGGGGAAGCAGTCAGTGTAAACTAGCACTAAGTGCCTTGTTTCCTTAAAGCAAGACTTGAAATTGCCCACAGCACACACCACTGTCACCTTCGAAGGTGCTTGGAGCCAAGGAGTTCAGTTTACATGGAGTGAGTGAGCGCCTGGCAGAGCACACAGTTGGCCTGGAAGCCTTGAGAACCAACCCTTCCAATGAGGAGCTACTAGACTTCTGCCAGGGCTCCTGAGCCGAGTGCAGATCTAAGAAAGTGCTAACTCCGTGTTGAAAAGGTGAAAATAATTAGATGCTTCACACCCAAACCATAGTGACTACATCCTGAAGTAATCATATGCGCATCCAAGCCCCATGAATAAATACAATTAGGTTTTCCAGAGACACGGAATGGGGAGGGCCACCTGCCCCGTCCAGGTGGAAGGCAGTACTGACCACAGACAAGGCTGGGTGTGCTCCTACCTTTCCCGTTTGGGAGTGTGGACTGAGAGCTGTCCATTGGTAGAGGCGTGCGGGTTCATGATGAGGGAGGTCTTGGAAGGCGCCGAGGACGAGACGCATGTGCTGGTCAGGTCTAGGCTGCTGTGGTTGCTGCCTGTGGTCTCCTCTGCAGTGTGGGCACTTGTCACTTCTTTCCACAGCTGCTGCAGTTCCGTTGGAATCATGCCTGAAACAAACAAATTGGATAATCAAATCAATTAACAGCTAATTCCGTCCTCTTCAAACAGTAATTAAATCAAAGAGTCAGTAAACAAAGCTTAGTGTTAGGGGGGGCTTTGGGTGTTCACACTTTCCTTTTTTTTTCCCCCTCCCAACTACGGCAAATTCAGTAGTGATAAGTGCACCCTCCCACTGAGCCGCCACTGAAGTCCCCTTGTCACACAGAACAGACACCTTGAAATGGATGCCAAGCACAGCTACTCTGCGGGCAGCAGGACTCCCTCCATTCAAAGGCCATTTCTCAGTTTTAGGACCGTAGAGGCAGGCCAGCTTATATTTAGGCAACATAGGAGACCTCTAAATAAAATTTGTTGAACTATAGTCTCATGACAACAGGAACCACAAAATGAGTAATTTTTGTGCTTAAGTCTTAAATGATGACAAATAGCTTTGTTATTAAATACAGTTTTTATTAATCACTTTTAGACATAAATTATGAATTCATACCGTCTTCCTGAAATGCTTTTCAACTTTTAACAGTCAAATTGATTATACTATGATTATTTCATTAACACACCTATCTTCCTCATTAATTTTGGTTTCTAGTACCACATGCTTAATTGATGGATGTGTCTACTGAAGACTGTGTAACTTTTTATACAAGTAACACTATTATTACTGTCATTTCTGAGATCAACGCTAATGAGCCATTGCAGAGTGAAAATGGAAAGGAAAATAAGCTTGGAGTAATAAAAGTTCTCTTGTTTGTTTGAATGGGGTCAAAATGGGCAGGGGTCTTCAAGAAATACGTGTCAGTCTTTATTTTCTCTTAGATGAGATACAGTCAAATGTCAACCTCATCACTGTAGTCCTTTTTATCTTTGTCCTATCCACACAGCCTCTACACGCCAGACTTCCCAAATTCTAGTTCAGTGTATACTTTAGGCTGGTGTGGATGCCCAGAGAGACAGGCTCTGAACTGCACCCACCAACAGCAGAAGCTAAATAGCTTCCTCTGAGGAAGGAAAAGCAGTCACACACTCTGCCATCACTGGGCAACTCCCCCTTGGAAGTGAATGTCTGGGCCGCCGTTTGTCATCTCCATCTGCTGGAACACAGCTCTCCTAGAATACCAGCCATTTTTTCTGGTTAGATAGCAACAGCCGAAACAGGCTTGTTTCTTACCAAACTAAAAACGTACTGGATTGAAAAAAAGGAAGCTGTGTGCATTATATTCATTTGAAACACATAATAAAAAAATGCCAAGGTCTAAATTTAATTTATTTTTGTCATTTAGAATACAATGGCTAGATAATCATCTCAACGTGATCAGCCAAACATCTTTACTTTGCTAAACTGTTAAAGATTTTAATTATGCTAGCATTGGAGAGCACTGGTCTAATGAGGCGATGGACTCCAGAGAATCCGAGTGGTTAAGAACTGTGAAATGAGTCTGATAGGATTTTTTTATATTCACCGTAGATCGTTTGCATATCAAAGAGGAGTAAATTATTGCACAGCAGACCAATAACCTTCCCCGCCTTCCTAAGAGGAGCAGTAACAAAAACAGTTGGTCTCTCCAAAGCAGTGCTCCGGGAAAATGTTCAAATGCTCGAGTATTTGCAATTAATATATATTATAAAGGAAGCGTCAAATAATACATCGAGTGGCCAGAGATCCTTCAAATGCATCCTCGACAGCTGAGTGGGTTTCCTTCTCCCTTCATAAAAATCAAATGCCAATTATATTTTGATGGATTTTGTCCCAAATGAGCATTTAGTTATTAGGCATATTCAATTATTCCTTGTCCCCTGAAATCAAACCTTGAGGCAAATTAAACAAAGGGAAAGGTCACGACACAATCCTGGGTATGGCTTTGCTGCATGTGAGCTATTATTTTCAAACACCTTTCAAAGTGACAGGTAGGATGTGCCCATAGCTAGCAGGTCTGCCACTGTGATCTGCACACTGACAATTGCCGGTAAACAAAGCTGACCCTTGGACCAGGGTTGAAACAATGGGGGGAGCAGGCTGGTCTGTGGATGAGGGTGTATTGATATGAAGGCATATAAGTCAACACCTATTCTTATTTTCCAGTGAGTAAACACAGGAAAAGAAATAGCCATCTATTTTTCAACTCAGACTAATTGATTTCTGGGTCAACTGCAAGGGAAAGAACATAGGTCTAGCGACAGCTGCTTTCACACCTTCCTTCTGAGAAAAGCAAGACTCAGTGGCTGGTCCGAAAGGACAGCACTTCTCTGGCAAATCAAGGCCAAGACAAATGTGGTCACCACTTGTTACACCTGCACAGTGTACCAGTGCGATTCTGGGTTGTTTTTATTCCAGTGGGCTGGCAAACCAGGTTCAGCATCCACATGGACCAAGTAGAAAGAAGGGCCTGGATGAGTGACAACAGATACCTCGGGGCCAAATGCCAATGTGATCATTAGGCTCAGAAACAGCCTCAATAGACTGAAGACAGAAGAAGCAGGTGATTTTATTCCTCCTTTTTAGTTGACTGTTATTCAGTGACTACTAGGCACTCCAGAAAGCCTACACTTCATGGCAGAGTTAAGACAGACAGAAGCTAAGCTGGTACCCACCAGAGTAACATGGATGCCTCATTTTTAGTTATGTGTTTCTTCCAGAATGGTACAGTAAGAGTATCAAGTTAGACAAACCCACTGATTGGTATATAACCAAGTATACAGAGCTTACATTCAAAAAGAAAAGAAAAAGAAAAAAGAAAGAAAAGGTTGCAATAAGACATTTCTGTATGAAACTATTGGAATTAAGGACAATCAAATGCTGAATGAAAAGGAATGAGGACAGACTTATTATGGCAAACAGAATCAAGGCTCTAGAACAGTAGGTCTCAACCCAGGGCTGCAAGACTCACTCACAGGGTTGCCTAATTTCGTACCTGTAGCAAAATTATAGTCATGTAGTAGCAATGAAAACAATTTTCCAGTTGGGGGTCACCACAGAATGAGAAACTGTATTAAGGGATCACAGAATTAGAAAGATTGAGAACCACTGCTCTAGAATAATCCAAAAAGGGGGAAAAAACCACTCTACTTATAAAAAACCTAGGAAATGGCCTTTAAAATGCATTCACTGTCCCTACTTTCAGCTTTCCACACAGATGTAAGGGAACTGGGCAAGGGCATGCATGGGCTGTGGAAGAACCCTGATGGTTTTATTATGCATTAGGCATTGCCAGCGCTTTCAGATACCTAACCCTGGCGCCTCACTACATTTCTTTTATTCTTTTTTTTTTTTCCAGGACAACCTGTCCCTTCATTATAAAAGAAAATGCAGGCACAGGTTTAAAAAATGTATGTTGTGGGGACAGTTGACAGATTACTGCTTGTGGAACTCAATTTTACAACCCCAGGTATCACTGGCTCCAAGACAAACAGTTGATCAACCTTTTTTTGTCCTTGTACACCCGTACCCAGGTGACCATGTTCAAGCAAGCAGAAAGTTGATTTAAACCTCATAATGACATCAGTTTTAAGCCATCATCTCTCGGATAAAAAAGAATTGTGTTGTAGTTCAAACGTGACTGAACGCTCTCGAGCCACTTTGCTGAGGTGGCTGGGGAGACCAAAGTGAGCTCCTGCTTCACGAGAGATAGCCATAACTGTGGTCCACTTTATACCCAGTGCCTAATGCCAGCAATGCCAACATTTACATTCACGTTGTCTTGGGCGCACATGCAGGCACCCCTTAAGATGCTACATATGCTTCTTCCTAAGGTTGCAGGCGCTAATAGTGACAGCTGACTGCTAAGCCTATCAATCAATGCCACGGTTGGTGAATTGCCTACGGTGTCTCTGACGTGCTACTGCGGAGATGACACTGCATGCATCACCACGTTCATTTCTTTCGCATTACACATGAGCTTGTCTTGTCACTGCCCAATTGCCCTCTTTTGGACGGCTTAACTGATGTACTGTAACAATGAACCTTAGTGAGCAAACTTAATAGTATAGGAGCGGTGGGAAAAGATGAGAGCAAGTGAAGTCCGGTGGGTGTGTCAGAACAGCCTGCCGTGTTTCCAACAATAAACCGAAGGGTGTAATTAATGCAGGTCGTAACATCAGGCAAGCACAAAAATGCATTAGCCAAAGTGCCCTTCCTTTGCCTTGGGTTCAGTTCCCACTTCTCCCCACCAGACAGCAACAGAGGCGATGCCTCTCAGCTACCAAACAGCTCAGTAGACAAGGCAAGGGCAGGTGGGAGGGCAGGAGGAAGTGAAAGGAGGAAAGAAGCCACAGTTTTAGCGTTGAAAGCAAAGAAAACAACAACAAAAATCATAAGGGACAGATGTTGGGTGTGGTTGACTCGGGAGACAAAACCTAAATAGACACGCCTCACTGGCTCCACGCAACACCAAAAGTTTCTAGACAAACGACTGCCTCTTCAGCTGCACAAAAGAGACTCATCATTCTCACCCTGCTTCAGAAGGCAACTGAATCCAACAGGAAGCTGTAACTACCATCTATCCAGTGTCAACTACAACAGGACGGTCTGCGGGCCTTAAGGATGTGGCCACAGTACCACACACAGTTATTGTTGGGTATCTGTAGGATCCCATTGTGGATACCAGGGAGCAAGGATGCTCAGATCCCTCATATAAAAAACAGGTATTACACTGGGTCTTGGTACACACCTAAATTCTCAGCTGTTGTTCAAGGGACTGAGACAGGAGTTGGGGGCCAGCCTTGGGTTACAAAGGGAGAGATACTGTCTGGAAAGAAAGGCAGGCAAAGAGGAAGGGAGGAAGGAAGACAGGAAAGGAAAAGAGAGGAGAGGATATCATGGTATTTGACAGAGCCTATGATCATCCTATTTAAATTCCAATCAGTCCTCTCTTACTTGAGGTACTTAAGACTGTGTGAATTTTGTTACTTATGACTATTAGTAGAATAACACGAAAGGCACCTGCCCATGTTGAGCCCAGATAGCAGTATGGCTTCTTTTCTGTCTCTCAATATGTACTTGGTAGAGTCTGAGAATGTGGACTGCTCATGCGTGGAAAGACGGGTAATTGGGACAAGAGAACTGGCCTTTAAACATAGTCATAGTCATGGCTTCCCCTCCATTCCCTTTTAATTCCTGAGTAAATCAGAGCTGGTTACACCCTCAGGTTCTCCTAAGAACACCTACAGATTACCTTTATCTCTGATGCCAGCAATTTCTCAAAAATGATTCATGATATCTACTAAACACTGATACTTTTCCAGGCTGGAGAGATGGCTCTTTGGTTAAAAGCACCGACTGTTCTCCCAGAGGGCTGGGAGTTGGATTCCCAGTAACCATATGATAGCTCACAGCCACAGCCACCTGTAACTCCAGTTCCCAAAGACCTGACACCCTCTTCTGGCATCCACAGGTGCGACGTTCACATGGTACATACAAATACATGCAGGCAAAACACCATGCACGCACGCACGCGCACACACACACACACACACACACACACACACACACACACACAAATACTAAAGACAGACAAACATCAACAGCAAAAACCCCACCAAAATTCTTGATACTTTTCAAGGAACAAAATTTTATAAAAAGAAAATAACTTGAGTGCTCAACTCATTAGCTAAAACTCAGCAGAAAAAAAGTATAAAAAAGGAACAGAAACACAAACAAAACAAAAAATATTCCACTGATTTTTAGAGAACAGACTGATTTTAACATCCATGATGGAAATAAAATTGATAGTGTGCCTAAATATTTAAAAGATAGTGTTTAGGGGACTGAAGAGATGCCTCAACAGTTAAGAACACTAGCTGTTCTTCCAGAGGTCCTGGGAGCTATTTCTAGCATCCACAGGGCAGCTTACAACTGTCTGTAATTCTAGTCCAAGGAGATCTGACACCTTTTTCTGGCCTCTACAAGCATCAGACACACCTATGATATACAGCCATACATGCAAATAAAAATGCAATTAGGAAATAGTTTTTAAATGATGCTTATATAAAATAGTACTAAGATATAAAGATTTAAATGAGAGGCCCAGCATCATAGACTCAGGAGGTGGAGGAAGGAGTATTACTGAGTTCCAGGTTAGCCTGAGTTATGTCAGAAATCCTATCAGAGAGGGAGAACAGAGGGTGGGAGGGAGGGAGGGAGGGAGAGGGGAGGGAGGGGAAAAGGGGGAGGATGAGAAGGAGGGAGGAAGAGAAGGGGTATATGTAGAGACAGGGATGAGAGAAGAAGGAAGGGAAAAAAAAAGAACCTTGCATTATCTTAATATGTATGATTAAACAGTGTGTTTCAAAAACATTCGGAACCAAAATGCTCAAGGACTGCACTGACACATTTAGTAAGAGCAAGGAACCTTTGATTCCCCCCCTCCCCCCATCACTGCAACACAGTTCGTGTGAGCATTTGGATCCCTGACTCTTCCTCTTGACATGAACAGGCATTGTAAGGGCCCATCTGCTTTTTAGGTTGTTTGCCTAATGTCTCTCTGTGCCTGTTTCAGGTGGGCCATTCTCTGCATCCCAAGCAGGCAGAGATCAAGAAACACCCCATCCCCCTGCTCACCTTCTCCACAGAGCTGCCCCCCCATGTAATGGATGCATACCTTGAGTAAGAGGTTGGAGGGGAAGGGCAGGCTGCCCGGGTTGAATTGTTAGAAGGCCTTGGCGCTGCAGAGACAGGAGGTGCTGCTGCTGCAGCTGCTGCATCTGTAGAAGCTGCTGCTGGAAAGCCAACTGCTGGGTAGCCACCTGCTGTTGCTGCAAGAAACAGTGAGGGGCAGAATGAGATGGCCACTTTCCAATGAAGGTTAAAAGTGTGCATGTTTCAAAGCTCGCCACCATCTTCAAAACCCTGAGGACTGCCACCTGAGCTCGGCGGAGGGCTCAATGTCAAGTTTAACAGGGACACACCATAGCATGGCTGAAGACAGGTGGGGGGTCTGTGTTAACTCTTCTGCTACCCCCCCCCCAGGAAAAGGATTCCTTTGACAAGCCTGCTTTCCCAACAATGGGAAAAGCGTGCCTTCCATAGTCACTACATGAACTTTGGAGACTTTGACATCTGTAATTATTCACACTAGAAAGGAGATTTCATCCTTCTAGTCTGGAGGGATTTGAACCTTATACCCTTGAGGTGTCAGAGAGCAAGATGCCCCCCTCCTTGCCTGCACTGACAAGGACCTTTCACTAGTGTTTATCGTTTCTGACATAAATAAATGAGAAAAAAAATCAGACCTTTGAAGAAGAAAAACTTCATCTAATATTGTTAATTAGCCATGACAAACGATGAAATAACATTGTAAATCTTTCATAGAAACAGCCACTAGGTTTTAATTACGAACATTCATAATTTAGCAAACAACATCATACTCCACCATGAGTGTTTAATGTTAACAGGCTCTTCAAGCTTTAAGATTCTTCAGTTGGCTTGAGTTTCAACCTCCAAGTTGTCCTGTGTCCCCCGCCCACTTTGTTCTAGAAAGGAGGGGCTTTATGATATGATAAATATCTCTGTTGACTGGACAATGACAGGAGGAAAACTTTTGTTGTGTAAAACATCAATACATCATTCCTGTGTTTAGCAGGCTTTACCCCAGCCAAAAAAATTAATGTAGATTTCCTCAGTAATTATCTGAGTGATAGAAAGATAATACGGTGCAGGACTACAATAAATAGAAGGAAATTATCTAATATCCTTAATCTGCTAGGAATCATATCAAGGTGGAGGTCTTGGCTACATTATGACTAACAATTAGAAAGTAAAAATTAACCCTTTCCAAACTGAACTATATATATATATATGTACATATATATGTAATATATATGTTTAAGGAACACATAAGAGCTCTTTAAAATTCTGAATATTATTCCAAAGGTCAGTGAGACTTTTACAACTAAGATGACGACCCAGTGTTTTTAGAGCTGGCTTTGCTTAATAATGATATTTTACAAACAACTGCATTCACTTAACCTAACACATGACCTTGATCTGATATGGGCATGAAATGGTGTGTGCACCAAGACCTTCTGATGCAAAGTTCAAAGGAAGAGAAAAACGGTGGTTTCCTTTTGGCCTCCATGTAGTTTATTTTACAGAAAGAGAGAGAGAGAGAGAGAGAGAGAGAGAGAGAGAGAGAGAAAGCCATCGTCCTCATATTAGTAACCAATTTCAGACTTACCACCACGCCACTGAGAAAGTTAATTGAGTTTCACTCCAAAAAACAAATTCTATACTACTAACAACAAAAATTTAAATAAATTTAAATGAAAAGCCAGTACTTTCATTTTAAGAACAGCATGCAGAAAATGATCCAATTGTTTTCACCCCTTCCCAAGTTACCACATTAATGTGAAACCCAGTGATAGTTATATTCGTGTCAAAAGGATTTTTTCACTTCTTCAACAGATATTAACTCACGACATTAAAGACGAGGGATATGGAGACAGTTAAAAACTGGGGAATTAGCCCCTGTTGAAGTCAAATATGAAGGGGGGGTGCAGTGGAGGCTGGGGCGGGTGCTTCCTGTCTTACTGTAAATGAATGTTTAAAAACTGTGTATTTATATAAAATGACTGATGCCCTTTTCTGTTGTCTGTGGCCATCCCTAGGAAAAGCCCATGAAAGCTGTCCACGTTTGAAAAGCCAGGATATAAAAGTATACAAGGCCCATTGTCCAAAGAAGAATTTAAAAGCAACACTGGTTGCCAAACCATGCTCCCCACCCAGTTACCAAACACAGGATACGAGGCCGTTTGTTTACTTCTCACAGCTGAATGCATACAAAAAAGGTCTCTGCACAGCCCCGGGACAGGTCAGCAGTCAGTGTTAAAATGCTCAAATGCCCTGATAAACCTTCAGCTTCAGGTCCCCTCCCTAGAGCTGCAGTCAAAGGTCTGTTTTCCTTTCTTTGGCTACTCCCTACTGCCTAACATAAACTGTCATAGCTGCCCAGGACAAACGGCCCTTTTAAAACAATCGACTTAGCCACCTCACCACACAGGATGGCACCCCCACATACACCAGGCTTGATTTTAAAGCCAGTTCTTCCATCTACTTCCCAAACCACCCAGAATCCAGGAACCGTGTTTCTGTGGTGGCCTGGGCTTCATCTCTGACACCGTCAACACCTATCTCCAAAGGAGCATCTTTCAATGTGAAGTCAAACTTCCCAGGGGATATCAAACCTACCTTCAGGGAAAAAGAGAGCAACTGCATTGTGCTCTAGCTACGAATCCATGGACAGTCAGAAAAGGGAGAAAAGAGGAGAGGAAGTACCTGAAGGCAGAAAGTGATGCGTTTCTAACGACAGCACATTCATTCCATAAAGGAATATACTGGCCCCATTTGCCAATGTCTATGTTCAAACCCTGTCAAAATTATCACCACCAGGCCACACCACACAGCTGCCACCATGCGACACCTTCACTGCAGCACAGGAGGACCATCATCTGCATGGTGATTTTGGGACATTTCAGAAAAGCAGGGCCTCCTAACTACGGGTGTAACAGTCCAGTGGCACCATGGACACACAGCGGAACCCAAGGGCACACTTGTCTGACCCCACCTGTCTTGCCTTCCTCTTGGCCACACCAAGTCATGGGCCACAATACGCCACAGTCCTCAGGATGCAAACAAACAAACACAAAAACCTACTCCAGTGCAGAACCCTCTTTGCCTGTGCACACAACGTGCTCATTTGGCCATCACTCTCTGCCCAAACTCAGACGTCACTGTCATGTTTGTGTGCCCTCCCCCTCCTGACAACAGCACTTTGGGAACTCTCTCTCTTTCGCTGGGGAACTCCCCCACTCCTCCTCTTTCTGGAGCCCTCAGAGCTCATCTGAACTTTCTTCCCAGCACGCGGATGTGCTTTCCAAACTCTGTCTACAAGACCAAATAAGAGGTTAATAAGAAGTGGCAACGGGAAGGAAGAGCACAGCCCCTGGAAACGGGTAAGAGTGACAGTGGCAGCCCTTTTTAGTGTGTCTTCAAATATAGAGTTAAAGACCTTTAAAAAACTAAATTCTGATGCCTTTGAAAAGAAAGAAGCACAAAATAACAACAGGGGGTTATTGCCTGCAAGCCACGGGGGAGAAACTCCATAATTCTTCTTCTCCCTTTTGAAGGCTGTGAGAAATCTGATTCAAAAAAGCAACAGCAGAAGGGGAAACCTCTTGAGGCTGTAACCATTTCCTGTGATCATGCATAATGTGCTTCAAAAGTGGGTTTTTACCAATTCTGTTGATCAATTGCACCTCCTTCATAGCCCTTCTTTTTTCTGCTGTGTTTACATCTGATGTGACTCAATGACAAGCACTGTCTGAGACTGTGAAACAGGCCTGTCATGTTGATTTATGGGCGCATCAAACCCCAACTTGTCCAAACTGAAGCTCGCAGTTCATTAATTAGAGAGTTGTGACTTTGAAGTCAGCTTTCAGACTGTGGTTTTTAACATTTGGCTTAATTTATATGCTCTTGAATGTGGATCTCTAAGGGAAAAAACTGAAATTCCCTCCTTGTCTTTGAACTTCTTTTGACCGCACAATAATCATTTCTTTGTCCAGAGTGATGCCTGCAATCCCAGAGTCATTAAGGCGCATTGAACTGCCACTGATGAGTAAGCCCCGCTGAATTAGAAAAACAGCCAGGAAAACAAAGCTGAGAGCCTTCTGCGGGGTGATATCTCACAATTACATGCCTTCCCTCCCCGTGCCATTTCCATTTTAATTACTGTTAGTCCTTTAGATTTACATTTTAGACACTTTTTAATCTGTTCCCTTTTTTATTAGAGCAGCGCCTGGTAGCGAGCCACTGTCCTTAAGGTTGTGTCAGCATTTTCATTAATATGCCTCCTCCCCTTTACCCCAAAACTGCCCCTGCTCTGCGGGGGGTTTACAAGCAGCCTGCTAAACAGGACTCCAGGGTGGGGAAACTTGGCAGAGCACAGAAAGGGAACCCAATTTGTGTAAAGGGAGGAGCTGGCATGGGGAGAAAAGTCTGTGAAACTCCCATGTGTAAAACCATCATCCATGCTCATGTGAGGAGCAGGGATGAGGAGTCAGTCACCTGGCAAGACTCCCTCCACAAGGGCAAAGTAGCTAGCCGTGTAGGGCTGGCGGAGGAGCCAAGAAAAAGGTAGCACGCTGCCCACGGAATTATAAATTCTGTTGTCACAGGAGAGATACTGAAGCAAGAGCTTTTGGACCACTGTGAAATGTGAAAGGGTGTCCTAATACCTAGGCAGCTCCCAAAAGTGACAGCACCTCAGACCCATGGGAGCATATGAAAGGCAAAGTGGGGGTGAAGCCCTGGGGAGATCTCATGGTGTGTGGGTCTCCCGAGTGTCACCTGCCTGGGCAGGGCAGCCAGATGCAGGACACTGTGAGCACTACAAAGAGCTGACAGGTAGAAGTAGACACTGCGTTGTGCTGTTTGTTTTTCCTCAGTTAGGTACAGACGACCTGAGCTAAAGTTCCCCAACGTTAAGTCGCGCTACTTAGTGCACGCACTAGGAATTAGGACATGCTCAACATGCAAGAGGTCAGATGAAGATGGGAATGTTTAATCATCTTCTAAATGTCTTGTTTGCTTGCCTGACCTCACAAGAAGTCGGCTTGTCAATGGAAAAGGCCATTGCCACCTGCCCAAACACTTGAGTTCAACAAACAAACAAACAAACAAACAAACAAACAAACCAATGATTAAATGGTGGGGAAAAAAAACTACATGTGCGCCCTTCTCCAATTTTGTCCCTCCCACCCTCTCTGCATGTTGGTCCTCCGTAGTGCCAAAGGAGCCCAGAATGCTGCTCATGATGCTGTCACCACACAGAGGTACGCTGCCGTGGTGATGTAAAGTAAGGAATCAAGAAATCTTTGTACAAACGGGACAATAATTCTTGGTCTGAAAAGCCGAGAACCGATAAGAGACAGCTGAGTCGGGCAATCATTTAAAAGATGAATGACAGTTTAATAGCCACTAGATAGTCCCCTGAGATCTGAGGTTTGAAAGTAAAATATGCACTGTTGGTACCTCTTTCGGTTGTTTTCCAGCATGTTGCTGTTGGAGAAGTTGAAGTTGCAACTGTTCTTGTTGTTTTTTATAAAATTCTTGAAGCTGCTGCTACAAGAAAGAGAGGAGGGACGGTAAGTAACAGATGACCGAGGCCCACCGTCCCTCTCCATGCCATGCACAAACTGTGATTTGAAAAATAGCATCCTTTTATCTGGAATGGCCTGACCTTTTACTTTGAAACCTGACAATAAATTCCACGCACACTGACTACTCTTGGCATTAAGGTCTGAGGAGTAATCTCAAAAATGAACTGATGAAAAACATACCATTTTCTACACAAATTAATTAAAATAAGGCAAAGGATGACCTTTGATTGTACAACAAAGCCAAGATGCCCTTGCAGAGTCTGGTCAGTCTCTAGTACAGGCTTTGTAAATTATGGGGGAAGGGACAAGGAGGGTCCCACTCTTGGATATTTCATTCTTGTTGGGAACGTCCTGAATCTATCCTCACCATTCTATGCCAGAGACTTCTATCCCTGTAGCAGCTAGTCTTAACTGATGGGTTCAGGTTGCCTCTTAAGTGTGTGAATTATGTCCCCACGACACAAAGACAGTCACAAGTTTATCTGAGCATTATATGCTGGGGAAAAGTACTCTGTATCTTGAAAATTAATGAACTCCAAAATGCTTCTTTATATGTCCAAGGGAGAAAAATTCAAAGGTAAGACTTGGAGTTGAAATGGGGACTTCAAGAGCTGTCTGTACACACTTGCTTCCAGTGTGCACCTCGTGTTGCTCTGATTCATGCCACTTCGGAGTCTCTTGGCTTACCAAACAAAAGACAGGAAAGTCATGTAAGCCTGAGAGATCTTTTCTGACCAAGTCCAATCACAGCCTTAGGAATCTCAGTTCATGCAGCACTCTCCAGACCTGAGTCCTGGACCCATGGCATCATTCTGCTCCTTTAGGAGCACCGATGCCACCATCACTCAGGGACTGGGTAGGGGAAACGGCCACGCGGATGAAGGGGAACTGTAAACTGGGTTTTGGGGCTCTGGGCTCTGCAGAGTGGGCAGGGGGAGGACAATTACCTGTTGAAGCATGAGGGCCTGCTGCTGCTGGAGGAGAACCTGGAGCTGCTGGGGACTCAGCACTTGCTGTTGAAGGATCTGCTGCATTTGCTGGGGAGTGATAACCTGAGGTGTCATCATAGCCACTGACACGGGGACCTGCAACATTAACCAAGGGTAAGTAGGAAGCCAGGAAGCCACACGCCCTCAGCCTCTCAGGGGCAGCCTACTTCAAGAATCGACCAATTTCCCCTGAATGTATTTATCGTGAAGAGATACAACCACAATCCTATATAAACCCGTGTGCAATTATCATTATCAATTTTATTGTGATGTTGTTGCTAAGCACCAAACTCAGGGCATCACAGATGCAGGGCAAGTCAAGAAATGGAAAAGAAATCTTGCAGTCAGGGTGGCTTATAAAGAAAGGAAGCACACCTTAACAAATGTTATCAGGGTTAGGGGCAGATCTACCCTTATTCACAATAATCTTTAGGCAAAGCGAGCTGTGAGAAGTCACCTTGCACTTAAGTTTTGTTTCAGGGAGGGAACTAAGGAGGAACAAACAGCTTTTGTAGCCACAGCTGGTAGGACCCACTTCCCTTGTGGACAGTGATTTTCAGATTTCTCAGAGTCATTAAGAATGCTTAGCCTGGGGTGGAGGACAGTGGGGAGAGAATCATGGACACACTTTCTGAACTTAAAATGTGGACCCTTCCTAGGATGCCTTTTACCCTTCCTTATTCACCCAGCATACAGATGTCTCAATTCTTTCATATTATGTGTGATCCCGGTAAAAGCCGCTTTCCATGACATTTCAGTGACAAACAGCTACAGTGATGAACTTGATAGCATTTCATATTTGCAACTGTTAACACGCTTCTGCACGGGCATCTTTGCAAGAAACCTGCACACTGTATCTGAAAGGATGATGTCTTGTTCAGATAAAACACTGACATTAAAATGACAGGCTGTCTTGGCCAAGGTTACACAAATTGTATTCAAGCGGATACCTAATGACAATGCTACGAATTCTGCGAGCTTTCTAGAATGTAATTTAGCTATTCAAAATAATCACTGCACTTGTGTTTAATTTTCAGACTACATGAGAACCATTTTGTCAGTCCTCGTAATCCAAGAAGACTACTTCATGAAAAATCAACCCCCCCATAAAAAGATATGAAAAGAAAAAAAACATAAAAAAAGAAAAGACAAGAGCTGAATGTCTCCTAGAGTAATATTTAAGCATCTTACTTTTCTTTGGTTTTTTTAGCAAATGTGCCAGCACGAAGCTAGAAGCTGTAAAGGATATATACTTTGTTAAAAAAGGGTCTGCTGTCATCCCATGTATTACAATAAAAGGTAATAACATGTTTTGCACTTTGCCTGTGTGCCACTTTAAAAAAGAAAAAAACCCTGCAGACAATAGCTGATCAAAAGATAAAAGAATTTAAAAAAAATCTTTCGAGAGAACAGTAAGCAAAAGAGAGAAACGGAGTGTTAATTTTATGTAACATAATGTCTTAATATGCAGTTTATCTTGACTTTTTCACATGACTTGCCCTGTCATTTGCATAGCGAGCTCTCATTCCTAATTTCACACTCATTATGCACTGATGTCCCGATTTCTCAGCATCACTAATTTTGATGAACTAAAAATGGTTCCTGAAGGTCAGATTCACATGCAATGATCATTCTCCACTGTTGTTGTGGCGTGGCGTGTGTTGGGGGGAAGTTGGGGGAGGTTCATGCATAAGTTTCACGTGTTTAGAAAACACTAGCTAGAACACTCAAAAAATTTCATTAACCCAACTCGGGGAGGTCATCCATGAATTCTTCTTACTGCAGTGGTCTTTTAAGTGTAGATGTAGTTACAGTGTAATTTAAAACAGATGGGCATGTCTGAATATTTTTATATGCAAAAAGGGACAGATGTATATGAATGGATAAATTATCCTTTTAAAAAGATAATTCGCAGCATGAAATATCACCAATGATTGGAACACTGAACTTGCGTACAGTCTAGGGCAAACGCCAAGAAGACACTATCAAAACATCTAACCATCTACGTACTAATTCCAATTAGTCGACTTCATCTTCATCCAGAAGAAACTTTCTGAATTTTTAAATGTGCACTGGGTGCCAATCGAGATCTTCAGAGCTCCTGAAGCCAACATATCACAATAGAAGTTTACTATTCCTTGAGAGTCGCATGGCCATACAGGAGGCTCACTGAAGCAAACAAAGGAACCATGTTTAAGGTTTCTTTTTCTCTCTGCATTTCTTGGATGGCGTACAACACAAATACTCGTGAGCCAAATGTCTAATGGCGATGGACAGGAAAACAGACAGGAACAGGGTGGTGTAAAATCTGAACTGGTGATGAACACGAACCTCAGAGAACAGTGGCAGAGAAACAGTACAGAAACAATCCCCTCATCGTCATTTTTAAAAGTGGTCTGGGCCCCTGTGTTAGAAACAATCCCCTCATCGTCATTTTTAAAAGTGGTCTGGAGCCCCTGTGTTAGAAAGGAACAAGGGTAAATTGGGGAGGCTGATGGAAACATTATAGGGGCCACAGATTCATGAATGTCAAATCACTTCCAATTAGATAAAGAGTATATTCTATAGTACATATACTCTAATAAAGGTGGATCTAAACCACAGTAGGTAATGCATACATGCTACTGTATTTTTTTTATCATATGTTTTAAAAGCACTTTATTTGTAAGCCTGGGAAAATAGTATGTGTCTTTTTAAACTGGAAACACCATGGCCCCTTGACTGTCAATAAAAAAAGGGGTGACCAGGGAAAGACTGACAGGTGCAGGTATTTTAAATCCTTGCAGAGAGAGTCAATGGTCTCCAGCTCCTTTTCCCACAGTTACTTCTTCATTGTTGGCAGTCGAACTGCAGAACAGTAGAATGAACTTGACTCTCCCTTGCTTGCTCCCTTTGGACCCTTTGATGGAGGGTCTGATGAGTAATAAAACGCTTCAAGCAGCAGGCACAGCCCAGCCAGGGACAGGCGCAAGAAGCCCGAGTAACCCTCTCAACTAGCGGAGCGGTCCCTGAGTAATCTGAAGTGGGCCATTATATCCTCATGGCTTGAACTCCGCTTTTACTATCTGAAACCACAGTTTCACATCAGCTAGTTCCCAGCCACCAAAGTGGGCCAGTGAGCTTCATTTTCAAATTCAGTGAAACAGATTTTGGTCGGAACCCCCCGCCCCTTCCCACACCTCAAGTTTCTGCTCTAATATATCAGGACAGGAGGTGGTGGCAAGGTTTCACAAAAAGTATTCGGATGGACCAAAAACCATAGTGTGGTGGAAAAGAAATGAGAGGAAAAAAAAATCAGAACAGAGTTTAAGGTTTTAAATAGTTAAGAATTATGGCCTACATATCCACTCCCTTAATTCCCAGTGTCCAGCTTTCTCCTGTAGCTAGTCCCTACTAATACTAGGAATCAAAGGGCATGCAGTACCAGCGAGGGGCTATTACAGCCCACACTTTATTACCCATTACTACTGAGGTCATTAACGGCAAGAGTGATTGTCGCAGCCCTCACCTATTGATCACCGAAACTGCTATCATTTAATCCTGTGTTGAATGTCTGGAAAGCAGCTAAAGGCACACGAGAGAGAGTGGTTTAGCACTGAGAAATATAGCCAAAGCTTAGAAATTACACTTTGATTCATAAAATCTAGCCAGTGGTTTAAATCAATAGTATTTAAAACAGTCATGTGAATTTTTAACTACAGCTGCCTAATATTTATAGGACCCTCATTGAGAGCATTCCACGAAAACTAAACTTTGTCCCCCGCAACCCCCGACACCCACCTTACCCTCCTGGAGATAACAATTCATTTCTGGTGCTCCATGTAGCTACAAGGGTTTGGGCCTTATCTGGGAGGTGAAGCTTATTCTTAATTTTTTTTCTTCAGAAGACAATTTAAATATAAGGCAAGGGAAAAAATTATCCCTGTACTATAGCTATGCTAACTGTTAGCATGTACAGAAATGAGCGTGCAGCATGGGGCTGTGTGAGCTCACAATGAATCACGGGAGGCATTTTATGAAGACCTAGAATGATTCTGTCTAGCTGCCTTCAAGGGATCAGAAATTCAAACAAAACTTCTGGCAGGTATTTAAAGAGTACTAGCCTTAAAATACTGAACTTAAACACATATGCACCTACAGTTGACTCTTTCTTTGAGCTTCTCAGGGATACCATGAATTTATTTTTTAAAAAAAGTGAAAACAGTTCAGGATATGCTGTTGACTGATACCAATGGGGTGTGGCCCATCCCAGGTGCACATAAACCCTCCTGAGTGGCAGAAATACAGCTGTGCTTGGCCATGTTAGCGTGGCTAGTATGGGCCTGCTGCTACTTAATACCACAGCTGGAGAAGCATCTTTTGCACCAGTGACTGCTGATAAAGACTCAAGCACTTCTGGCATAGTTTCCTTTCTCTCCAAAGGACGCTGTACGTTGGAACACTTGCGGACTATCAAACAATGCACTTTGCTTGCTTCTTTCTCTGACTTTCAAAAGTGGGGGAAGGTAGGCAATGGGGAAGAGGAGTGTTGAAATTCCAAAAGCAAACAAACAAATAAAAAAAAAACACTCATAGAAACAATACTTGGTTCTAATCTAGGAGACAATTGAAGGAATTGGGTGGGAGACGAGATGGCACAATATAAATCCTGAAAATAACATGTTATCATTTCTCTCTCTCCCTCTCCTTCACAATGAAGTTAACTACAAGTAAATCCTGCCCAGCACAAATACACATAGACTTTGTACATTCACATCCTCTCATAATTGCTATGTATACAAATCATATAACTGAGATAGTAAAAATGCAATATCCCACTTCATTTTCATTAATTATCTATTATATCATTTCCATCAAGTCACTTGCAAACAATTATTTGGAAACTGTTTTTCAATCTCTGATCGTGAGAAGCATGTATGCCTCCAGAAACTCACTTGCCTTCCATACTTTAAGCTGTGTTTGGGTGGCAGCTGATGCGGTTAGGCAGTGTCACCCAGTCAGCCACATAACGAGAGCAAAACAAATTAAATTAGAAGGCTCTAGAATGTCAAAACAAAAGCAAGCAAAGAAAATGGCTCTATTTTAAGAAAAAAAGG